ACGTTACCTTTTGTTTGCACCAACCCCACTCGTTTTGAGTTCCATCTAGTTGTTGAACCATGAAATTGTCAATAGCAGTCTGCTCAGTTGGGTCCTACAGAAATTAATTGAAAAAACACACTTCAAAACAAAGTATACTGCGAATTATTTTATTAAGCTCACTACAATTCACTAATGCCCCATTTAGTTAGTTACTAAAGCATGATTCTACTCAGTGACGGATCCAGAAAAATTTTTTTCTGGGAGTGTCCACTTATAACAAATTTAAAAAACTGTCAACGAATTTATTAATTTTGTCATTAGCTCATTTTTTATTATCTTTTATGGAAACAAAAAATAAAAACCAAACGGAGTTACAATGCCAAATTGAAGGTTCATTAAAACAATATCATCAGTTTATGAAACATTACAATCATGAAATCAAAGCCGAAAAAAAGTTGAGGACAGACCTTTCCAATCAATGCAGGGCCAATGATTGTGTTAACATTAGCGACGGCCTATATATTAAAAGAAGAACATATTATTAATGAAATAAATTATTGAAAAATGCCAGTAAAAATAAAAGATAAAATCGCATGCATAACTGACCTTTGATACACCTTTACCAAGGTAATCGGAACCTCCATCTCTCAATTCAAGAGCCTCGTAAATTCCTATAAATAAAAAATAAAAACTTATAAAAAAAGAAATTAGAAATTAATTATTTAGATTATTACGGGATCAATTAACGTACCAGTGGATGCACCACTTGGAACTGCAGCTCTAGCCTTTTTACCGTTCCGTGTTTCCACGTCAACCTATCATATTAAATCATGATTTTGAACATTAAAAACAAGTGAATAACTACCGGAATTGAGCTCATTCAAACAGGGGACAAAGAGCTAGAGGAACTCGACTACTCAACCGATTCGACTAGCCGAGTCGTAAAATCCAAAAGCAAATAGATCGAAAAAGATTTAATCGGGAAATGAGTGAAGGAGATGCTATATACACGGATCGGTGACATTACAAAAAAATAGCAAGGGAATGATAATGAAGAGGCGAACCTCGACCGTTGGATTACCACGGCTGTCGAAGATCTGCCGAGCTTTAACGGACTTGATTGTTTTCGCAGCCATGAAGTCAGCGATGATTGCCCCCCCCGTCATGAGATCAAAGCTTTTTTTGAGATCAAAAGAAAGACTGAGAGAGCTGGAAAGGAGGTTTTGAGAATAGTAAAAAGAGGTTTTAGGCGTAAAGTTGGAGTGATGGTTTATAAGGAGGAGAGTAGCTTGATGAGGCCCGTTGATATGAAAGAGAAAATAGTGTAGCCGTTAGATTTGAGTTTAATAGATACAAAAACGGTGTGCTTTTTGTCATGTGAGGAGCACCGTTGTTTTGGTGGATGCGCATGGTTTCTGGTGAATTGTCAAAAAGCGAACGAGTTTGGTGGGTTTAGTTGAAAATTCATTGTTTATGACTTGCTGTCCAAGTAAAATGCTGAAAAAAAAAAAGGAAAAATGGCATTTAATTTAAAAACTAATAAATAATGGGAAAATTTCCTGATTTAAAAAGTTTTTTCTTAAACTTACTAAAATGATTATATAAAGTAATTTTTTTCTTGAATATATTGACATTAAAATCAATATTAACAAATATTTTGAAATTATTAATCAATAAAATCCTTTTGTAAAAAAAAAAGAAATTAGTTGGAATTTTGTTTTTATAATTTAATTTTTTAGTTTGGTTCATCAAATTTAATTTTTGAGAACCTTTTAGATTTTTAATAGTATAAAAAAGTGATAATTTTGAATCAAAAACTTATATCTCTTGTAATTTTTTAAGATTCTTAATAAAATATAAAATTTATCTCATTTTTAATCTCAATAATAATTTTTTATAATCTATTTTATTTTTAAAAATTAATACAATTACATGATAAATTGATAATCATTTTGACACGTAAAATTGTTTTTTTAATCATATGATTAAGTAAAATTACATTTTTAACCACACATTTAAACATTTAATAATGATAATGTGGATTTAAATTTTTATAAATTTAATTATTTATTTTGAACTAATAAAATTTTAGAAACATAAATTTTTAATTATAAATTCAATTGATTTTGAAGATTATATAAACTGTTTTTGTCATTTTCCTGGGGTTATAAAGATTTATAAATTTCTTTATTGATTTATAATTTATTTGATAGAATAATGAAAAAAAGTTTCTTCACATCAGAAAAGATAAAAGATATTATAATACAATATGAATATTCCGACCGCATTTCTATCGGATGATTTTCGTGTAAGGGATTCTCTAATTGGTGACGGTGTTTGTGTTACTTGGTAAAGAGGCTGTGTTTCTTATGTTGTTCTTCCTGTTTTTTTTTTGGTTTTATTTTAGCATGAAGCTTTTATAATTTTGACAACCTTCTGTCTTTTTATAGGTTTATATCATTTTTATGAATTCCACATGTTCGATGACGATAAATTGATAATAAATTTAGTAATTTCAAATATAATATAATGATGTCATATAAAAATGATATAAATAAAAAATAAAAAAATATAATTTAAAATTTTAATAAAAATTATAAAAATATTTAAAAAAATTAAAAAAATAATATATTTTATATTTTTACATCAACATAAATTATAACACATAATTTTTATATAAAATATAATATAAATATATAAATATTTAATATTTTATATAATATAAATACTAGAATTATTAAATTTGGCTGATAGAAACACTTGAATTGTCACTTTCTAATTCTATACTTCATTGGTTTCTCGTTGATGGGGTCCCCATTTATTTTTTTTCATTTTTAATAAAATTCAAAGCATAACAATAGCAAAAGTAATAGCCTGCATGTCACTTTCGTGCATGAATCCCCGTTCCTTCATTTTTTGCTCTTAACGCAGAATCAATCAGGCATATACTTTTGTGCGAATAGTTTTCAAATTTCATGTATCTTACTCAGCTCCTCCCCTTTTTAAATCTTTTTACAAATGTCAAAATTTGATAATGTTAATTGATTTTTTCGAGTGACTCTGCCGTCCCATTCGTGATCTAATGATTGAAGTTAGGGGTGATAACGAGTTTTTTTTCTTGGTAAGAAAGAGTTATCACGATTTGGATCGTATTAATTTAATTTTTGTAGATATTACGTAATATTGTAAATTTGAATGAATTAAAAATTAATTTGAATGGAATTATATTGATTTGGTTTGATTTATCAATTTTTTAATTTTTAATTTTAATTTTTATATATTATTTTAATAAGATTTTAATATATAAAAATAAATTTATATAAAAAAATTATTTTTATAAAAATTAATAAAAATATATAATTTAATTTGATTTTTATTACACCTAGATTCAAAATTTTAATTTTAATTTAATATATATTTAATATTTAAATTTATATGAATCAAATATTATAATTTTAAATTAATTTTTAATTTTATCAATTTTTTTTCTCACGTCAGCTACGAAAGCAACCGTATAAAAAAGGGTTTTTTCATCTTCCATGGATCAGATCAGCTTGGACGGCCCAAAAGCTGCGCCCCTCACAACTGTTGGCTTCATATTTTCATTCCCTCACAAAAAACATGGCTTGGCTTTACATTTGCCACTATAAATCATTGTAGCTTAATTGATTTTGCCAGTCCAGGTTTTAGGAGTCTTCAGCTGACAGGTAAAGGTCACGTGACTGATGTAGAAGTATGCTTTGGCTGCTTGAAAAGTTTCCAGGCGTCTCTGTTTCGGGCATTTTCGGCTACACTTTGATTTTAATTAAATTAATTTATTGAATTGATTTAATTCAATTAATCAAACATCAATAAATTAATTTTGATTGATAAATAAAAATAAATTTAAAATAATTTTGATTTTTGATTAATTTGATTTGAAAATTAAATTAATCAAAATTTTAATAAAAATATAATAAAATTTAAATATAAAATAAAAACTATATGAAATAAATTATTTTATTTTATAAGTTATTAAAATTTTTAATACAATATTTAATATTTTAATATTTTATTAGGTAATTTTATTTAATTTATTTAAAATATAAAAATATAAAAATTTTAAATAATTTAATTTAAATATATTTATTGTTTAATTAATTAAAAAAATTAATCAAACCGATTAATTTAATTGATTGATTAATTTTTTAAAATTAACAAATTTAATTAGATTAAGAAAATAAAATAAAATAATTTAATTATTTTGATTTTAAATAATTTAATTTAAAATTAACCGAACTAATAAAGTGAATAATCTTACTAGTAAACATCACGTTGTTTTCTCATGTCTTTAACATTAAAAATTGCTTAGTCTTTTATCATTCAGTGTTTGATTTGTAATTACTTGATTTTGGAAACCCACCTCTCGGTTCTCGACAATATATAAAATATTTAGTTTCAAGTATCAACCTACCAATAGCTTAATCCATTCCAAAATCACTACAGGTGAATGCTAGTATAAGGATTTTGTTAATGATTTGGTGATGCTCATATATCATCACAAAATCATTTAAACCAACTTCTAATTCCTTTTTTTTTTATAAAATTTATCTTGCTCTATTTGTGATAACTTTCATTACGACCTTAAATAATCACATTGATAATTTTATTGTATGTATATAAATTTTAAATTTTATTTTAAAAAATAATTTATGTTAAAAGTTTATTTAAATAAAAAATAAAAGTTAAAAATTTATTTAAATATAAATTAAAAATTAATTAAATTTAAAAATGTATTTGAATGTAATATAAATTATAAATATTATCTAAATAAAATGATAAAATTCATGAACTTATTTTATTATTTTACCAATATTTTATTTAAAATATAAGACGAGACAGTATCTAAACTAGTTTATTATTTGCACGTAAAAACGAACTATATTATTAAATTTAAACAAAATTTTGGCATAAATATTAAACCAAAAAAAAAAAACACCTTACTCTCTCAAAAAATTATTATTTTCTATAAATAATGCCTTAAAAAAAAAAAAAAAAAGCCACAGCATTATCATCAAACATTTTGGTCATCAATCGTTCAACCACAACCAACCTCCCAACAAAAGACTCCAAAAAATTAATAATTTGTCGTCATCCTGTTTTTCTCAAGGGAGTTCCACCTTGAACCAAAACCAAAGCCTACAAAAAGCTCACTTTCTCTTCTATCTTCTACACTTCCATTAACAATGGCAGCTTCTTTAACAATCTCAAGATTACTGTCGCCAGCTTCTTTTTCCACCATCATCACCACCACCAAGCTTTCCCCTAAATCCCTTTCTTCAAAACTCTTTATTTCTCCGCAGTCCCCGAACCTCCACCTCCGCCCTTCAAAACCCATTTCCTTTTCCACCAAAACAACACAGATCTCCGCCGCAATCTCTGTCGGAGACAAGCTTCCCGACGCAACCCTCTCCTACTTCGACTCCGCCGGAGAACTCCAAACCACCACAATCTCCTCCCTAACCGCCGGAAAAAAGGCCGTCCTCTTCGCTGTCCCGGGTGCTTTCACTCCCACCTGTTCCCAAAAACACCTTCCTGGGTTCGTCGAAAAATCAGGGGAACTCAAAGCCAAAGGGGTCGACACCATCGCCTGCCTGTCGGTGAACGACGCGTTTGTGATGCGAGCGTGGAAAGAGAATCTGGGGATTAAGGACGAGGTTCTCTTGTTGTCGGATGGGAATGGGGAGTTCACGAAGAAAATTGGTTGTGAATTAGATTTGAGTGATAAGCCCGTTGGACTTGGACTCCGGTCCAGAAGGTACGCGCTTTTGGCTGAAGATGGGGTTGTAAAGGTTCTTAATTTGGAGGAAGGTGGTGCTTTTACTTTCAGTGGGGCTGAAGACATTCTCAAAGTGCTGTGATTTTGGTGAGATTGGACATTGGCGACCTCTTTTTATTCCTTTAAACTCCTTTGTTCGGTAGTTTTTGCTTTGTTAATAAAAATGAACGACTCTGAAAATGTTTTAGAAGGATACTTATGACAGTTTCTATGAATTTTTTTGTCTTATGCTATGGGATTTTTTTGGACTTTCATTTTTCTTGGTGTAGCAGCCAGCATTCTAGTTTTCTCTGTTTCAAAGGCCTTCTAATTAGAATCTTTGCTTAACCTTTGATGATGAATTGATATGAGGTTTGTTCTTCCTGCATTGTTGGTGTGATGGAATTTTACTCGGTCACTGAATGTGATAGGGATTACCCTGTTGAGTGTACTTGTTAATTGCTATAATAAATCACAGAGAAGATAATGAAGGAATTGATCCAACGAGGGAAGAAGGAAGTTTGGGGTTATTTGCGGAGTGAATCGATGAGACCTGATGCTAACAATTACTAGACTTGATTGTGCTGATGCCTGATTATATACGTGTCTCATATATATATATACACACACACAATCGGTATTTTATCATCAATTTCAAGTCTAGGGAACTTGATCTGAGGTAGAAAATGGGAGGCGCATTGACTCAGCTAAGTTTTCAGATGCTGTCTGCTTGTCAATGGATACCATGGTCCATGCTTGGGGTTTTCCTAGTCTATTTCGTTCATAGGCCTTTGGGACTGTTTCTTAACGATCAAGATCAGGATGCGACCAGCAAAAATGTACTTGGGTCATCAGAGACATAGTTGTAGCTAGTCACAGACTTGAGGCAGAGCCTCATTCCACAAGGGCACGGTGTGTGACCTGACATAAGGTTATTGTAAAGAGGTTGGAGGAACAAGGTTGTCTGGTGTTCTCCCCACTCAGGTAAAAAAGAAACGTCAGTTAAAAATGCTGGCTTTTGAGGCTGTCGATATGTCAAAATGTTGAGATTACACTTGCCGAAGTAATTGCCTCTAATATGATATTCGTGAATCTTTCATTAAATTGGATTCTAAATTGCATTATATTCTGATTCCATTTATAATTTAGGTCATGAACAAAGGTCATTTGTCAAAATATGGTCATTTTGATTCAAAATTTTGAAGAAACTAAAGTACAAAACGTTTCATGGATGCTTGAGTTTAATAAGAGAGAGTCAAAGTGATACACTACTTCCTTCGTACATGCACCTTGATATCTCCAACATTGAAAAATATGCAGCACTCTCATAGACAGCCATCTGAAGCTCATAAGTTAGAAGACGATTAACTATACATATGAAACATCTTCGGCTTTCTTTGAATACCAATTATCCGGTTAGAAGCTTATATACAGGAAATATTGACAAGCAAAACATTTACGACGATTAATAACCACTAGAAGATAGCCATCCTTCCCAACCTTCACTCGTTCAGTGCTCCTTCCATGCAATGACTTTGCAGGCCAATTAGCCAGCCTTCCTTTTTGACCTCATCTGGTGTCCACCTTCTGTCATTTAGAAGAAAAATTATGCAAAGCACCAAGAAGATTGAAATCAGTTTCACAGGGCCCTGAATCCAGATGATGGCAAAGCAAAGCACCTGTCTCTCTAACTGCGAATAAATTGATCCACAAAGGGCCTGGTCTAAACAGGTATCTCTCCCTTATTACATACTGGCAACAGCAGATAGGCTTTCATCAGAGCTCCAATCATCCATCCCTTTAGCCTTCATTTCTGAGCAGATACTCTGGGTCTCTTGCAACCTCTTCTGCTCTCTTAGGCCAGTCTCAAGTTCCTTACAAGTAGTGAAATGTGGAAGGAAATGATTCTCAAACATTTCTCTATACCACACATATGCTCCAATGAAATCCTTCAGTTCACAATATCCCCTTATGAGTAGGTTATAGGTATCAGCTTTAGGAACCAATCCCTTGGCCTTCATATCACTAACAAGATTCTATATTTCTGACAAGTTTCCCCTTCTAAAGTGTCCCAGAATCAAGCTATTGTAGGTCTTTTTATCAGGACAAATTCCTCGTTCTACCATCTCTTGATGCAAAGCAAATGCATTCTGAACATCTCCATGCTCCACACACAAGTGAATCAGCAAATTATATACAAGTAGATCAGGAATCAAATGCATCTGTGCCATTTCACGAAACAGTATCCCTGCAAGCTCTATTCCTTCCTTACTGCATCCACTAATGAGACTATGATAGGTATTTAAAGTAGGCTTAATGCCCGAACTCTTCAAGTCTTCAAACAATTCCAGACATTTCTGAGCATTTCTCTTATTAGAATACCCTGATATTAAGGTGTTGGTGATGACATCAGGACTACACCCACTTCCTGTAATTTGGGGAAGCAAATCTTCAGCTTCAGTTACCCTTCCCTGTTTGCATAGCCCATTGATGAGTGTGTTGTACGTTACAATTGTTGGTTTTGTTGCACGCTTCACCGTTTCATCAAAGAACCTGAAAGCATCTTTCAACTTTCCTGCTGCACAATTACCAGCAATGAGCGTGTTATTTATTAGCACATTTAGCAACACCCCTCTGTCACGGACCTAAGGAGGAGTCCTGAATCCCACATCAAACATAATAGGAAGGTCACTGGGGTATAAAAGGGTTCACACCATCTCCGCCTTGTGAGGCGTCTTTTGTAGGACAAAACCGTGAGGCCAAGGGGGTCAGAGCGGACAATACCTCACAAGGGTGTGAACCGTGGCAGAAAGCTGATCTGGGACGTCGGAAGGGTGAATGCTGGGTCCCGGAGCTGCGCGAGTTCGGAGCTTGAGTCTTGACCCGTGACAAGTGGTATCAGAGCCAGCCCTAAACCGTTCGATCCACGCCAAGCACCTCGAGGGAGGTAGGCAGGGTGGCCAGCCTCCGTGACGAGGCGTCACGAGGTTGGGTGCAGGAGAATATCAGTCCTGAATCCTACATCGAACATAATAGGAAGGTTACTGGAGTATAAAAGGGTTCACACCATCTTCCCCTTGTGAGGCGCCTTTTGTAGGACAAAACCGTGAGGCCGAGGTTGGGTGCGGGACCTAAGGAGGAGTCTTGAATCCCACATCGAACATAATAGGAAGGTCACTGGGATATAAAAGGGTTCACACCATCTCCGCCTTGTGAGGCACCTTTTGTAGGACAAAACCGTGAGGCCAGGAAGGTCACTGGGGTATAAAAGGGTTCACACCATCTCCGCCTTGTGAGACACCTTTTGTAGGACAAAATCATGAGGCCAAAGGGGCCAGAGCGGACAATACCTCACAAGGGTGTGAACCGTGGCGGAAGGCTGATCTAGAACGTCGGAAGGGTGAATGCCCAGGTCCCGGAGCCGCGCGGATTCGGAGCTTGAGTCTCGACCCGTGACACCTCCACTTACCATATCCCTAAAGGTTATTTCAGCTTCGAGAAGCATTCCATCTTTGCATAAACAATTTATAAGGGAACCATAACTAACAACATTTGGCTTAATCCCACCCTTTCCCATTTCTTCTATCATCGCAAAACACCTATCCAATAGGCATATTTTCCCATAACCATTTATTAGGATGTTGTATGTCTCAACATTGGGCAAAACACCCTTCTCTCTCATCTTTCTACCCATTCTTCAGCTTTGTCCATCTCTTTCATTTCAAAAAATTTGTCAATCAAAGTATTGAATGTAAATCCAGCCTCAACCCCAACTCTTCCATCTGCTCAACTGTCGAAATGGCTCTATTCGTATCACCAATCCGACAATTTCCATTCACAATGGTATTATATACCACCTCATTAGGCACAAACCCTTTTTCAATTTCTTTCAGCAAAACCTCTTCCGCTTTTTCAAAATTCCCTTCCTTGGACAAATGATTCAACCAATTGTTTAATGTATATCTATTGATCCCAACTCCATTCCCACTCATTTCTTCATACAAAGCCAATGCACTTTCAACATTCCCACTCCTCAAAAACCCATCAAAAAGTATACTACAAGTATACCCATCAGGAGCAAATCCTCGTGCTTCCATTTCCTTCAAACCCCTTTTGCCTCCTCCATCCTATGGGCACGACAAAGCCCACTAACCAATGTATTGAAAGTAACAAGGTTAGGCTCCACATTGTCCCTTACCATCCTCTCTTTTAAATCAAACACTTTCTCTAACTCCTCAACCTTACAATAGCCATCAACAAGAGTATGATACGTAACCGAACTCGGTACCAACTTTCTCTCAAGAATCTCATCAAAATTCTCTGCATCCCTAATTCTCTTCTCTTTACAGAACCCACCAATCAAAACGTTATAGATAAACAAACTAGGACTCACCCCTTTTTTCTTCATGGAATCCACAAGCTCATTAGCCCTTTTCAAGTCCCCTAATTTTCCTGCCGCTTGAACAGCTTTTCCATACATAAATTTAGTAGGTCTAAAACCAGACTCAATTATATCCTCAAACAAATTAAGGGTTTTGTCAAACTTATTCAAAGACGCCAAAGTTTCAAGCAACAAGTTAAGAGAAGTCACAGAAGCTTGCATACCTTCTTTCCTTATACCTTTATATACCTCCAGGGCTTCACTGTGCATTTTGGATTCTGCTAATAAAGACAGGACTGATTTCGACTTTCACTGTGCATTCTGATTTCGACTTTATAAATAGTTGGGCCAACAAGTTCGAGCAAGTTAAAGTCAGCCCAACTCTTTCATCAGTCAGCCCATGAGAAATCTGTCAGGCTTCATTTACTTCATCAAAGAAAGCCCAATTTCTACCTTTGTTGACGGCAGGATTTCTCACTCTGTTTCGTCTTTATTACCTGGAATATAAGTTTCATACATTCCTTTTAACTTAGGCTCCGTTTGTTTCATGAAAATAATTTTTGAAAAATAATTTTTAAATTTTAAGTATTGATTTAGTGAAAAATTAGTTGATCAATAAAAAATAAGATCTTTATTTTAAAAATTATTTTACCGAAAAAGAAAAAGATATTTTTCAAAAAAAAATTATTTATGAGTAAAACTATTTACAAATGTTTTAAAACATAATTTTACTTATAAATAATATTATACAAATAAATAATATACTATTAATATAATATATTAATAAATAATATTATATTCATAAATAATATTATAATATATTAATAAATATTATTATAATATTAATAAAATCTCATATTAATAATAATAGTATAATCTATTAATAAATAACATACTATTAATATAATATATTAATATATTAATATATTAATAAAAAATATAAAGAATAATAAATAGTTTTTTAAAGTAATTTTTATATTAACATTATATTTTAATATTAAATATTATTATTAAAATATAATTATTTTTTAATAGTAATAAGTTTTATAATAAATAATTGCAATATATTTTAATAATAGATCATTTTTAATATTTTAATTGTTATATTAATATTTTTTGAAAAAAAAATTCAAAAAACAATCAAACAATAAAAAATATTTTTCATTAACTTATCTAAACAACAAAAATTTCTTTCAATTCAAGAAATATAAATATTTTTCAAAAATTATTTTCTACCAAACAAATGAACCTCAATTGAAAAGTTGCGTAATTCTGTTAGAAAGCTGTAGTTCCTGGTCTCCATGGTGATCAAATTCCACAGGTTCCGTCAAGTGTCAACAGGATGTGATCGTGTTTCTGTTTCTGGTTAATAATCAAGATCCTAATGTCTTTCCAGGGCATCTGTGGAAAGCAAAGTCGGTGATAAGTTTCATGATGTAACCAGAGAAAAGCTGGCATGGTACAACCGAGATTTATAGCCAGTATTGTTGAGGTTATAAATTCATTCTGTCCAATTTATCGAATCATTAATGTAACGTGATAAATGTGACTGGTTGGCAACTTGGACTTTGTTGGCCCTTGAGGAAAGCCACTTGGATACACCAAATTTTCATCTGGTTTTGATATCAACTACTCTCAGCCTGACATCACACCTGACGCTTACATTGGAATGTTGGTTTGAGTTGAGCTGAAAGAGGCCATTACTTGTTACAGCAAACAGTGAAAAACCTGAAAATTGTAGGCTGAGTAGTTTTTTGACATTTGATTTAGCAAAAATAATGCATTCTATTATTTTTCATAGCCTCTTTGATCAAATGGATAGAAGTTCAACACCTGATTGCTCTATCTATGGCAGCATTTTCTCTGGATTATGCTTCCACGAAGTGAGAGAGGGTTAGACAAACAGACACAGATAAATGGAGAATCAACTATGAAAATTACTCTTTTCCCATTATTTTATTCCTTCTCAAACAAATCTCAAAGACAACAGAATGGTAAAGAGGAGGGAAAGAAGAGAGCTAAAAAGAGAAAAGAAATCACAATTTGCAAACAGTTCACTCTAAAAATCTTTCCTATATTGGGGTCCAAACCCTGAAACTGCCTTCATTTGCTCCTTATCTTCTGTGTATGATGCATTACCATAACAACATTTGTTCTGTATTTTCCTTAATTTCTTGGATATTCACAAGAAAACTAACTTGTTTCGAGTAATTCACTCTAATTCTTATACTCAACCTGAAAGAATAACCGGTCTTTTACCCTGTCTTTTTATACAAAACTAAATTGCGAGAAAATGTCCCTATAATCGCCACATGTTCAGTTGCTGAAGTAGAGAATGACCTGCTTAGGAGCCAAAAGAATTACACCAAACGAATACCTTAGGAGTTGCGCTAAGAGTTGGGGACAATGGTGCCAACATATCCAAATCCCATGATGAAGAAGGCAATTGCTTGGGCATAAAGATATATGAAGTAGTGGTTTTTCCCGAACACAACATCATAGCAGCCACAGAAGAAGAGATAAGCTCCGACACCAAGCTCTAACAAGTGGAGTCTGCAAGCATTTAATCGCAAAATGAGAGTTTCAAATTAGATACTAGACAAAAGTATATTATAGTCTTATTTGAATGACAAGTCAAGGTTCTAATAGCAGATTCAGTTTAATAGCCTTACCTTTCTCCAAACCTGAAACGAGGTTTCCTGGGTGTTTTTGTGGCTGCTTTAGCCTTGAGAGTATCTCCTAGTTTCTCAGTGACAATCCATTCATTTACTCTACCAGCCTCTAACAGGCCAATGAAGGTAGCCTTGGTCCGATGCAATGACATGACATTTTCAAAGAGGATCCAGAAAACCAACAAGTGAAGTGACCTGAAAGAGAATTATGTATAGTAAATGTTAATCAGGTGAATAAGGCTTATATCTTTTTCCAGAAACAGGGCAACCTGATTTCTTTACATTGATTTACACATCAAATTGTGTTATGTTAGCAGGGAACGGTTCAATCAAACTTGATTTTTCCGTTGATGAATTCAAAATTCTATTTCAAGCTAGGGAATAATGAATATTGGGAATCCATTGAAATAAATGGAAACATAATCCAAAAGCACCAGACCTTGGAGTTCCAACTGCATTGAGAATGGTAATGATAGAAGGAATATAAACAGCTCCCCACTTTGCAACCTCAACTTCAGGTACAAGAACAGTTGCAGGTAACACAACGCAATAAAAGATGAATGTAACAACGTGGGCAACAATCTTTCTGACCACGAAGAAGCTGTAGATTACATGTACCTTCTTCCACGAGGAAACTTTCTGCAATAAATTTTACAAAAAGGGGAAGGAATAAAGAGTGAGCCAATGAATTGCCAGTATTTTAACTCCTTAATTCATTAATCAGTTTAAGCAGCTAACCTTGTTTGTAATAATCTCCTTCACCATTTTCCTGAAAAGGTTAGCAGGACCGCAAGACCACCGGTGCTGTTGGTAGCGATAAGCCTTCAAGGTACTAGGCAATTCATTTTTAACCTATAGTCAAGCAGTAAAATTGTGAATATTAAAAAATGCAATGTCTCGGACTGTGAACCAAAGCTGATATGGGTGTGATTTCAGCCGACTTCAGCTGATGCATCCAGAAAACTAGCTCGATAAAACTCAGGACAGTACCTTTAGGCTTCCGAGATAAAGGAATTTCCAGCCTTTCAGACTAGCTCGGACTGCCAAATCCATATCCTCTACTGTGGTTCTATCTTTCCACCCTCCTGCCTCATTCAAAGCAGCAATTCTCCACACTCCAGCAGTTCCTTTACAGGTTTAACCCAATGGAAAAAGAAAGATTAGACTTCAAATTTAATCATAGTTGAAAAAAATTAACCCATTCCTTCTAATAAAACCTGCAGCTTAACTTAGTTGATTCATGCAACCTTTTAAGAAGTCTCATCAAGCATATCTAAAATTCAAATCCCACAGAATATTTAGCAAATCTAGAATTTAAATTTCAATACCTACAACTCTTCCTATCCATTTAATTTCTCATTACCGTTGAAGCCAAAGAAGGCATAGGTGGAAGACCCCACTTCTTGTTCCACAGTGAAATGGTAATCCAGTGACATTTCTTGCATTCTTGTCATCAAGCACTCATCAGCATTCACTGTAGAAAAAGAAAAACAGCCCGGAAAACCATTGCCATGTTACAATCTTTGCTGTCATTAATGAAAATTTCTTATAAAAAACATCATGATGATGAAATCAAGAGGGCGATTAAAATCAAACGTTGGCTAGTACATGGATAATGACCAAGGCTGGAGGTCCACCACTTACAAGCTTGCACATGCAGTTGTTGGGTAGAAGACAAAGTTAACACTGTAGATATTCTTCATGCCCAAACATGCCCTTCCCAAGGGCAGTTTTCAACATTTATTGGGAAGGATACTTGGGTAGATCCGCCCAAAATCTAGTGCCTCCTCCTAACCAAGTAAATACTATGGGACTCCTGCAGCTTTTTTTCAGCTAAAAAGTGACTCTCTAATTAATTAGCCAACATATTTGGGTCCATTTTATTGATTCAGTTCTCCTTTTTGCTGAGATAAAACTTATCAGATTAACCCACCAGACTGTCCTCAGCAATTTTTCTATCACCCAAAATCAATAAGAAAAATCCATTTTCCATTAAAGTGTTTAATTAAAAACATTAAGAATTGTGGAAGTTAAAATAATCATCAACATGAAAAATTCCAGGTGAATTTTCATTGCTTCCAAACAATGACCGACAAACTAAGATGGAACAAAATAACAAAAACACGTCCAGAAATAGCTTTCTTTACTTTTCAGCTTTCTTATGTGAAGCACCCACGTATCCAAATCTCTGTTCAGCCAACAAGGATTGGACCGTCGATAGATCCACGAGGGTAAGGACCCACCTAACCATTAACCCATACGCTAATAGACCCACCGACAGTTCTCAAAAATATAATCTTTTTAACCATGTTTATTTAAAAAAAAAATTTGCCTGATAAGAGATTTTTCAGTGTGATATATCACAGGTAAGCTTTATCTAAATTGAGGGATATGACTTTGTTAATACTAGTACTGATAGTATGTAACATGTGATTAAGCAGCATTACCGAATTTCCAACGAGCTTGAACCAAAGCTAATTCTGGATTGTGAACAAGGAAAGGGATGGTACGCCAAAGGAAATCAGGTTCTGGCTGGAAATCAGCGTCAAAAATGACTACGAAATCACATTGTTTGACGTAGCTGCGTTTCATGCCTTCTTTTAGAGCGCCTGCTTTGTAGCCATTTCTATTGTCTCTTATTTCGTACTTGATGCTGATGCCTTTGCTTGCCCATCTTTGGCACTCTAACTCCACCAAATCCTTCATTTTTTTCAATATTATTTCCATGCAAGAAAGCAAGAAAAAAAGAAACCCAAATCATTAAAATCCTTACTAAAATTGTCAGTAAAACTCAATGTCTTTTAAATTTTGATTTTTTTTTTTGGGGGGGGGGGGGGGGAGGTTTACCTTAATTGTTGGGTCAGTTGAATCATCAAGGACTTGAATAATGATCCGATCAGACGGCCATGAGAGGCCACATGCAGCTCCAATTGACAATTGATAAACCTGCATTAATCGTTGAACTTTTAAAAAATGAAAAATGTTGTAATCTTGGGTTAACAAAAAGGAAAAGGAAAGAAAAGAAAAGGACCTCTCTCTCATTGTACATTGGGATTTGAACCAAAACCATGGGATAAGCTGAGTTTCCCAACTCAACATCATCTTTTATTGGTTCCCATTTGTACCTTCTCTCCGGTTTTCGACCAAAGAGCTTGACCAACAGTATGACTATGCCCATATAAACCCTCTCAATGAAAAGCATCAAAGACATGATCAAACAAATGACAACCGCAAGTCTCAACAATGGTACCACCAATGGCGCTTTGATCTGACCCCAAAGCAATTCCATTTGCATGGAGAAATCATCTCTCGTCCCCTGGAATGTATCAGGAAGAATAGTCGTCGAAGAAAGCCGATCCATTTCCGAACTTTTTCCTAGTATAAAAAACGAAGCAATAAACAGGGGAGGACCAGATGGGAGGCTAAGAACAAGAGTGAAAGTTGATTGTACACAGGTTTTGAAAACAACCCACTAGATCTGCTCAGATATAAAGGACATTCTTTGACAAAAGAGATGGAATATTTCCCTTCTTTTTTTTCGTTTATGAATTTGCTTCTGGTTCAAGCAAAACAATGGAGGTAGAGCTAGCTGGAAAAATGTCAGTCACAGGCTCAAACCCCCGTTATTTCTGACTCTGTTATTTGGAAGAAAAACAGAAGCAGAAGCAGAAGCAGAACACTTGAACAAACAAGTTCAAGAATGAGGAAAAAAATTAGAGCGAAGAAAATGAGAGACAAAACAATGTCTTATATAAGCACCGTCTTGTCTGGTTATTGTGTTTTTTTTTTTTTTTTCTCTTTCTTATTTCCATTTTTACAATAACATTTGTTCTCTCTCTATTCTTTTTCTTTTTTTAATTTACAACACTGGTTTTGCTTTCCAACTACAAATGTGCGAATAGTACAAAAGAAGACAAAACAATGGTGGAATTTTTTATTCAATATCTCGTCGGTTTTCACCGGTTGATGATGTCATTTACCGACGACTTGGATATACATTTTAGACTTAACTTATATAGTTGAAATTTGTGAAGGTATTTTTTAAAATTAATTTAATAAAAGTTTTAATGAAAAAATTAAATTAAAAAATGATAAATTTAATATAAAATTTATTTATAATTTAATTTTGATCTTTATATATTTAATAATAATTTTATTAATTTTTTTATTAAAAATATCTATTTTAAAAAATATATTAAAATTTATTTAACTGTTTTAAATTTTATGTACTTAATTTATGAAATATTTTTTTAATTTATTAATTTTTAATTTTAATATTTTTAATAAAAAATTTTAAAAATTTTTCCTACAAAATTTTATTTAAATCTTTTTCATATATTTTTACCTAATAATCTCTGGTAATTATTAAGCTTGAAAAAGCTTTATCGACACCTTGCATTTTGTCGGTGATTTAACTCATGAGTTTTATATATATATAAATATATATATATATATTTATTTATTTATTTATTTATTTACTAACAGTATAAGACAATTTTGAATGCGTAGAAAAGAATATATTTTTAAAAAATTTAAATTTAAATAAAATTATTTGAGATATATTATTATATCGAATAATCTTAAATTTAATAAAGTAATATGACATAAAAATAATATAAAAAATAATAATATGATTGAAAGTTTTAATAAAAATTATATATAAATTTATTAAAATAAAAAAATTATATAATTATAATATAATAAAATTTATATCTTATTCATATTTAACATAATATTAATACAATATAAATATGTAAATTATCATAAATACCTTTTATACATATATATATATATAAAGTATATAACAAATTCACAACCTTTTTATATGTCCTATTTATTTGGAGTGTAGAGGGCAAATAAAAAAAAAAAGTCCTTTTTTGCTCTTCTAAAAAATAAAAGTAAGAGAGAAGAGACTTGAGCGGCCTTGGTCCAAGCTTTGCATATTTGATGGGATTGGGAATGCCCTTTGTGTGGTCTAAATCTATGTGACAGATAGGTCAGATGCTTCTTGTTCGCAACGCCTTTATAAATGCTTTTTTTTTTTTTAATTAATGCCTTTAAATTAAAGTTACAAATTTCTCCCTATTTGTTTACCAAAATCAGAGGGGTATCGGGGGTACGTTATACTTTTGTGCCATGAAAGGTACAATTATTATAATTATAATTAAAAAAATTATTGTAATTGAGGTTAAAAAAATATTTTAATGAAAATTTAATAAATTTAATCATATCATATTAAAAATTTAATAAAATTTAAATGGCTACTAATTATTGGAAGGAAAAGCTTAATTTAATTATTATAGAGTCCTATTATCATATGCTTTAATTAATTATTGGGAGGAAAAGCTTAATTTAATTATTATAGAGTCCTATTATTATAAGCTTTAAGCTTAAGAAAATGTATATGTTTAAGTGTTTTGCGACGGCTTTCTCTCTTGTAGTGTATCTTTTGACGTTTTGATTTTGAACTCTTAGTTTTAAAGTTTGAGTTTCTAAAACTCGTTTTTTTTTTTTATTGATTAAATTTGATTAGAGGATAAAAAAATTTTGAAAATAGAAATTCAATAATTATTTAAATTTTTATTATTTTATTATAATTAATTAAGTTTTCAAATATTTATTTTTATCAATAAAATTTTTATTAAATAAAAATTATTAACCGTCAATATCAATTTTCATTTAATCAAAAACTTAATTAAAGTAAAAATAAATATTTGAACGTTCAATTTAATAAAATAAATATTTAAAAGTTTAATTCATTTGTAATAAAAATTTTAAAATTTAATTAATTATAATAAAATATTAAAAACTTAAATAATTATTAAATTTTTATTCTAAAGTTTTTTTTTAATTCTTTTATCAATAAAGTTTTACTCTATTACAATTAATAATGACATTGTCATATGCTTAGTTGTCATAACATACTCTCTCTGTACCATTTTATTTGTCCATCATTTTTTTTTCTCAAAATTATGTTTTTTTTTAATATCTAAAATTCTTATTTTTATATATTTTAAAATTATTTTTATGATTTTTTTAATTTTTTATATTAAAAATCATGTAACTTTAATTTTATAAAAAAGTTAAAATTTAATATTAAATACATTAAAATCAAAATAAAAATTTTAAACTCTGTGAAAGTCAATATAAGACAAATATTTTGAGACGTAAATAGTATCATTCATCTACACAAAAAATATTATAGTAAAATTTATTAAAATATGTTATTTTAGAAAAAGACAGTTCAAAAAAATCGTGCTATGTGCTCGAAGTTTTATACTAAGAGGGTGCTTGATACTTGATAACCAATTAAAATGTCCTGATTTTATGCCTAATTTACAAACTATTTACAATTAGTAATTTCTTGCAAAGGCAATTGATCCTTTTATTTAATATGAGATCGCATTGACATTAAATTTAAATGCTTGTATTCTTGCAATGCATGGCATATAATTTATCTTAACTTGAAAAATTAAATAATTATTTATTTTAATTTTTTTATATATATAAAATAATTTACCAGTTTCTTTCCTTCCTTCTAACAATATTCTTATTAATTAGGGCTTGAGATTAGAGAGCATGAATATTATTGATACCAACATTTGATTCCCAAAACATTGAGAGGATGAGCCTAATTTGGTGGTGATCATAAAAATCCAAGAAGTTTGAGTTATGTTAATTAGAACAAAAGTGAGAGAAATGACTTTCATTCAATCACAAAATAAGTGTGTCTAAGACAATGGTGTGACAATAACCTTGCATATTAGATGAAAGAAAGAGTTTTAAATGCAAAGCATCATTCTCACTACTAATTGCGTATCAACAACCATAAAAAAAAAAGAGTGAAGGTCATTAGTTTGGGTATTGGTAAACATCATTTTCTTTTTAATATAAAGATATCGTAATTTGAAAATAGAAGAAAGAATTGAAATTATTAAGATATAAATTTAAAAATAATTGTATGAATTAATTAGACTGACTTTTAAATTGTTAATAAACAACATTTGATCAACAATAATTGAAAATGACAAAAGTAAAGTAAAATATGGAATAATTTGATTAAAATATTATATCAATTCAAATAGACATATTGTTAAATATTAAAATTACATTTTATTATTTTTTTGGTATATCAAAAATATATATACACGCAAAAGTAACAATTAAAAATATTTAAATAAGTAAATAGATTGATATATTTTTTCTCATTAGTGAGATTTCAAGGTGAAAACATTGGATCTTTTGTGATAGTAAATATACCAATTGAATATATAGTAGCATTTAATTAAATTAGATAAAGTTTAAATTTATAGATTAATTCAATTGATTTATATAATAATTTTAAAATATGATATCTAATAAATCTAAAATTAAAATTTTAGCATCCGTAATTTTTCCTTACCCTAGATTGCAATCTATTTTGTATAAAAAAATTTAATAAATTATTTAATAAATTAACAATAATTTTTTTTTAACTTCACAAATAAGATTTAAATGATAACATATGTCTTATTTCTTTTCTAAATTAATTGTTTTAAATAAATAAGAGACATATGTCATAATCTTAATCTCATTTAAGAAGTTAAAAATCTCTATTGTAAATATATTTGATAATTTCTCAAAGAATTGTACAAAGTTAAATGTTGGGTTTATAATTTTATATCATTATGTATGAATATGCTAAAATATTTTCCTTCAAGAACTGGCCAAGATAATTGAACGTACCGTCAAAATATGCTTTTGACCAGATTCACTATCTAGGTAACAAATGCAGTAAAAAATAGGCTTTTCTGCAACTGTCAAAATAGATTTGTTATTATAAGAAACTACCCTTACCATGTTAACTCCAAATTCCATGTCGTTTTCATGAATACAAATTTCCCAAAACAAAAATATCCAATGAATCTTTGTTGCATGTACAATTATATGCATGCATGCTAATTTTGATCTATGCAAAGTTTTGTTATTGCGAGGCAAAATTAAACCCGTCCATAAGTCAGATTATCAATTTGATATACGAATTTAATCCGATTTTATATTTATTAACTTATTTATTATACCACTCCCTATGATTTTCTGCATTTGTTAACTTGTATATCAATCCCTCATCAATTATTAATTTGTAACTTATACTCATTCTTGAAATGATATATAAACTGCTAGCAACTTATTAGGTCAAGTCAAAGGTCCAAATTTATGGAAAGGTGAGAAGTCATTCTTTGTTAAAATATATATATTTCAAAGATTAAATTAACATCATTGTAATAAAGATTATGGGTTTTTTTTTTTATACTTTGTCATGTATTTAGAATATGATATGGGAACTAATTGACAAACTAGCAATTGGTGAATGAAATTGCTTAGAGTTGATCTTAAGTATGTGGAAAACTTTCGATCATGCTCACCTAAAACACTTGTTAGAAAAACCAGAGAATTTATTTAAAAATTTCACTAATTATAGACATTATTTCCAACAATTTTGGTAGAAAAAACCAAATTAAAAAAAAAATTATTATAACACCAGCTTGTAAGAAATATCTTTTAAACTTTCAAGTATGACCCAAATTTGATGTGGTCTATTAGCTGAATGGTAAGGATTATGCCAAAGAGTTTAGAGCTAGATGCCCTTGCAAAGGGATTGGAAATGTGAGGGTGAGATATCATAATATTGATATATTTGAAAGGAAAAAATTCCACAGATATGCACTATGTTTTTTTTTTTTAAATTTTTATTTAAGAAAATCCAAGATATTAATAATTAGTGTGAA